TCACCTCCGGGGCAGGCGGGAATCGAACTCATGCGGAAGCGGCTTTAGCTTCTCAGTGCTGCGCTTTAACCCGCTGCACCACCAGGGAGTGCCCAACAAGAACAGATTTTAAAAATTCCCTACTTGCCAATGTCTGCTGATATTAAAAAAAAAAAAAAAGAGGCTATTTTGAGCTATGCCTTGAAGCATGGGAAGGACATACAAGTAAACACAATGAAATGAGAGTTGATCAAGGAGGAAAGTTAGTGTTGGATAAATAAAGATGCTCACTTTTATACTGCTGGCCTCTGTGGCTATCACCTGTGGCCTTTAATGCAGGAGGTGCTTGGGAGCATGGGCTCCTGACGCATGCCTGATGACGGACAGCTGGAGGATGGTGTGGGCGTGCATGAGTGGGCACACCTGGGCCTGGAGGTGGAGCACCCAGGGTGGTGTCACAGAGGATGCTGCTGCAGAGTGGCAGACAGCAGCAAACGGCTTGAGAGGAAGAGGCCACAGCGACACCAGTCCAGAGGGAGGAGGCCTGCCAGCCTCTGCAGCTCCCCTGCCTGTCCTGCACCTGGTTGCTGCACTGCAAGTGTATAGTAAGATCATTAAAAGCCTGAAAAAAATCAGTGTTCTAGGACTCTCCTTTACCTTTCTGCCTTGGTCCATCAAGAACCTGTGCTGTCTGCCACAACAGCTAACAATAGCTGAGTGCGGGGGTTGGAAGTGCAGCCTGAAGAATGGGGTGCTCTCAAATGAAATAGGGACTGTGGAATCTGGGCATGAAAACTAGACATCAAGGACCTTTTACTAAGTATGGGCCCAGGCCCCTTGGAATCAGGAAGCTCTGGATTAAGTGTCCCTGAACCAGGCCACTAAAAACAAGAAGGCTCAAAGGTGCACACAATCACTGGAAGCTAGTCCTGCATTCCCTAATGTGTTTGCAATTTAAAGGTGAAGTTGTGACTACGTATTGATTTAAGGCACCTGTGCAGCCATTTATTGTACATTTCAAATCTGCTGACAGTTTCATTGGAACTGAGAGGATCCCGTATTTCAAGGATCAAGCAGGTGGGATGAGTCCAAAAGGCTTCTGAGAGGTAAGTTTCCAGTTATACTGAAAAAGGACAAAAGTAGCAGGTAAGAATCTGGACAAAGGCCATCTGACTAGTGAGTAAGCAGAGCTGGAGGATGTGATTTGATTCTTTTCATACTAAACCACCAGAAGCACATACCTTCATTCTCTGCTTATTGGTTTAAACGATAATGAGTTACAGAAACTTAGACCTGTAAAGGAATTGAGAAATCACCAATAAATACCTATCATAAATGAGGAAGTAGGTCAGACAGTAGAGCAAAAGCTAGAACTTGAGGCTTGAGACTTGCAATTCTTATTTTTGTAGATAAACATAGGCGAGCTGCAGTCTCTGCCCAAGTTTGCTGTGACTCTAGGATGCTTCATCCATGACCACTGAGCAGTAACCATCGACTATGAACCACCCAGAGCCTTGCACAGGGCCTGATTCAGACGGACAAGACTTGCGAATATCCATTACAAAATCAAGTAAGCTGGCCCACCTTTAAAGCTAATTAGAGGGGCATGGTTCAGAGGTCATTGAAGATTGGAAGGGTGAGGGAGGCTTCCTGGAAATGTGATGTGAGCTGGATGAAAAGCAGTCTGCTGTACACTGCAACCCTGGACCAGCGTCAGCCCACACACAACTTTACTGTGGTGACCCACAGTGGTTCTTTCTTTCCAAAACCTGAGAGGCTTTCACATAAAAATTCCAATTTCAGGGATGTCATAAAAACGACAATACGGGGCTAGCAGTCTCACCAACAAGAAGGTCTGGGGTTAGAGGCAGCTCCCCTTAGCTACTGCGTAAACCGGCTGAACACCCACTGCCTGTTCTCATTACCTGCCTGACCCCCTGGGCTGTCGACCTGCTACCCGTTTTCAGAAACGAGAAAGACAGCCCAGGAAAGGGACAAGTGAGACACAGCAGTGCTATCAGTGGATTTAGTGCTGTAATGAGAACATGTTCCCTAGGCCAAGACATATCTGAGGTCAGCAGAAGAGTCTGGTGAAAGCCCAGTGAATTAAAAATATACAAAACTTTGCTCCTGCTGATTGAATGTGTTTCTTGTATTCATATTTACTTCCCTTCTCAATCTTTGTTTTGGGATATTTAAAACACAAACTAAAATTTTAAATTTTCAAAAATTAATAATTTATTTTGAATAAAAACCTAACTGATATTACATATTGAATCCACACAGTATGCAGTAAGAACATGACTAACCTCTGCTTCCTTTCCTAGTCAAATTTGCACCCCACCCGGCTTTACTCTATCCCAAGTGCTCTTAACTCTGCCACTGCCTGAATGATAGTCCACGATCCATTTTCAGTCAATACCCCTGTAGCTCAGCATCTACAAAGAGGTCCCTGAAAACAAGAGCCTCTTCTCAGTCTGGAAATTTATCCCAGCAAAAGGTGCAGAGGTTCTTCTAGACATTCTATGCTTGGAGGGTCACAATTTAAATTTATAAAATGCATCTGAGGTAAGAAAGGTCAGGAAATTTGATCCTGCTATACAATTGTTTCAGAGCTGTTCAAACCACACAGGCTCTAGGTCTAGTCTTCAGTACCCCTATTTTCTGTTAAGTGCCCACAGAAAAATAATGCAGTGCTCAGAGAAAACCCTTAGGTAGTTCAGTCAATCTGTTCCTTTTAGGTGAACTTCTGCATATTAATAATGATGTCTGGCACCACCCAGTAGAGTTTTTTCTTACATGCTTCTGAATAGACAACTCTGCAAACTGGAGGTCACAAAAGAGAACACCTTGATCAAGACAGAAAAGAACAACACTGCAAATGAAAGCAGTTTTTTTTTTAAGCTATCTCCTTTGAAAAGTTCTGATCATTTAAAAATTATTTTCCTGGCCTTGGAAATAGTTTATATAATTTTTGGACAATGGAGTGAGGGTAATTCCTCCTTTCTAGAGAAGTCCTTGTAATGAACTAATATTTGTAAGAAAACCAACTAGTGTACTAGATGGTAGGCATTGTCCCACACAATCTAAGATGTACTCTCTTAATGTACATTCGGAAAAATATGTCTTAACTAATTTGGAGTAAAAGTAAATCCTTGGAGTGGGAGTTCTCAACTGATTCTTGAGCTTCAGGCTGCAGGTTTGCATCACACTGGAAAGGTGTGAGGTGACTGCTGCTTTAATAGGGAGAACTAATGAAGGACCGTATTTGCCATGGAAAGAATTCTTGAAAAGTCTGATAGCACAGATGAAGGCTGCGTCCCTATTTTCCTTTTCTGAGTCACAATTTAAACAAATAATTTCTGTTCCACAAATCTCCACATTATCAACGATTCAGTAGGATTCATATTATGCTATCATCTTCAAAGGAAGAGAAAAAGTTGTTCTTCATCGGAGTATTTTCTCCCCCCCGGTATTTTAAATGTCAATGATTACAAAAACCTCTGGCTTTTCTTCATTATAGACTTGCATTGCTGAATATGTTATTGCCTTGACTTCAGTACCCTAAAGAGGAAAAAAAAAAAAAAAAAAAGGACATTGAGATCAGTAGCCTTAACTCTAGCAACAAGTAGCAGAAAATGAAAAACAAAAAACTCACACAGAACAGTTACCAAATTAGGACTACGCCCTGGGAGCCACAAGTGAAAGGTCCTAACTGGCTTCTGGAGCTGGAGCTGTGGTCCTGGTTTTGTTCCCACTGGATATAAAAGCTGTCTCTGACTTCCAGATGTCAGTTTTTTCATTTAGTAAATGGGATGCATCAAAGAACATTCATCTTTTCTACTTCTCAAGCCCAACCTGGCCCGAGGCACGCAACCTGTTCTCTCTGTAGCTGCCATTACTCCCTGTGCCTCGTGAGGTTCTCTCTCTACATGTTTCTGTTACCCAACACTTCCCCTACCCTGCCCAGGTTAGAGCCATAAAATCAGGTGTTCTCTGAGTTCCTCCCAGTTTTTGAAAGGGATCTACCATAACTCTGTGCACTACAAAATGGATCTGCAAATAGGTAATTTGGTAGTTTTTTTTTTTTAAGAATTTATTTATTTATGCATACAGAACTGGGATACAGGCCAGAGGTGCAGAGGCATGAGAGGATTCACCAGAGACAGAGTGGGGAACAGGCCGACTGCTGAGGGGAGCAGCGGGCTGGTCAGGAGAGGTCCGCTGTGCCATGTGGGTCACCTCTGGGGTGGGGATTGAACTCATGCTGAAGTGGCCTTAGCTTCTTAGTGCTGTGCTTTTACTTGCTGCACCACCAGGGAGGGCCCAATTTGGTAGTTTTATGGCACAAGAGACACCTGAAGATTTCACAGGATTTAAAGGTACCCACCTGTGTTTTTTCCCCTCTGCCATAATCACTTAGTATCTGCCATAATCACCTGGCAAAACCACAATCGAAATCGAAATCAAATTCAACCATGTAGGCCTAGAGCAGCACATACCAAGCTAACTGTATCACCTTAAATGTCTGCACATGTCAAGAGTAAACTGAGCACTGACCAATAATCTTCCACTTGCCATTAAGTTTAATTTCTCACTCTCCAAGAAAATTATTTAACACCTTCATTCTAACATCCCTCCTTCATTCCCACCATCAACCAACCAACTTTCCCAAAGAAAGTAAAAGCAACCATAAGATTTGACTCGTCTTCCCCATCAAACCTACCATCTTACTGAGCCTGCACTCACACTGGTCTTCTCTACTGTTACAAGGATTGGCCTGGACTGGCCTGGCCTGGACTGGCCTGGCCTGGCCTGGCCCTGTCCCCTCAGAAAGCTTGAGCACTCTTCCCCCCAGAGGTGACAAGTACCAAGTCAAGTCATCCAGACTGGCAAACACAGAATCCAGAGTGGCACAGAAGGTAGCAGGTACTTTAAAGAACATTTTGTCCAATACCTGCATTACAAGGGAAAATATCACAACTTGAAAGGCAGTGAGTTTTAAGTACCGCATCAGCCTGACTCTACAGTCCAAATGCTGAATCCACCAAACCAGATGTATTTTCTCAGAGAAGTTTGAGAAAAAAACTGACCACTTTATACCAATTATTAGAGCTGTCCAGAATTTACTGCTTTATGGTGAAGTAGAAAAGTAGAAAAATGTTTTCCATGGCTGGATTTAAAAACATACCTGAGGGTGTTTAGACAATGAGAATTCTTCTCCCCACCTTGAGAAGGAAAATGAAAACATGATTAAGATTTTTAAGATTTAACAATTGTTTTCTCCTTATATGCTTTAAAAGCTATCATTAAGGGACTAAAGAAACCTGTAGAACACTAAATCGAATCAGAGCAACCTAACCACATGCTTATGAATGCTTGAATAAAAAGTGAAATTTATTCACGGAACCGGCTTGAATGAAATGTGCGGATCAGTGAGAAAGAACATACCAGTGTTTCCCATTCACCATGGCCAAGCAAGGACCTGTGCCATCTACCAATTTTATATGATGTTGTTTTTCTTTCGGTGTGTATGCATACACTAAAAACCAACAAATTGGGATTCAGATTTAACCACCAGAATCAACTTTGTTCTGATGAGTTTCTGATTCTCCAAAACTGAGGTGAGGCCGAGCTCCAGGCGCCCCACAAAGCTTAGCCTGCAAACCTTTCTGGGATGCAACTGGTCCGCGGACTTAACATTCCCATTTGTCTCCTGCCCACTACACTCATGACTTACCACTTCAAAGATTTTCAAAACTTACCCAATTGACCGTAACTTGAAGTTCCTTTGATCAATACTAAGTACTTTCACTTCCTAAAGGGGAAAAAAAACATTAAATTTTATAAAATGAAATGTTCCTTAACAGGTCAACAATATATTTCAAGGAAATATACTTTTTCTTACATATTTCAAGGGTGGTATTCTTGAAAAATATACAATCTGAAAACAGTCAAAAGAATTTCTCTGGGCCACCCTTGTGGCAGAAGGGGTTAAGTCTCTGCATATGAAGCTATCAGCAGCCACTGCAGCACAAGTTCAATCCCTGGCCAGCAAGCTGACCCACATGGTCCAGCAGACCTCTCCTGTCTTAGCCCCTGCTCCCCTCAGCAGTGTGTTTCATTAGATCTGCCTATTCTGTTTCCCATGACCACCCCTATACTACCACTCTGCTCCATACCTCTGGCCTACAACCCCAACTCTTATATACATAAATAAATCTTTAAAAAAATAAAATAAAAATTATGGAGAAATTCATCATTGTTAAAAAAAAAAAAGAATTTCTCTGCAAGATCAGGATGATGTTATATATTTCCAGTCACTCTCAGCTTAATTTTTTTCAGCTTTACCTAAAGCATAATTGACAAGGCTCTCAGCCGGCTTTTATGTACTATTACGGTACCTGAACTCTGTGGGACAAATGAGCCAGTAGGGTGCATATATGGCACGATGCTGGTGTGGGGAAGAAGGTAGGAATTATGGGAGGAGAGAGGACTGTGCATGTAAGGTAACAGTGAAGTTGGAGAGGTGTTCCCATCAAGATACTGATGGCAACAAACAACCTTCATGTGGCTTTTCAGTTTTCATGTTAGGGAAAACTAAAAGCAGCAATTTCTTAGCTTAGGCCAAGGTGGCAGAGCTGCCGCATTTCATCTGAGACAAAAGAAGCATATGGATGGATACAAATATAGCTGAAAGTTGGGAGCCATCAAAAGTGTGGATGAAGACAGCAGGTGCTTTCCAATTACACACTTGTGATCAGTGACAAGTACATAATGAGAGATCTAAATACAAAATGTGTGTCTCTAGGCAAGCTCTGGTTACCAGGAAGTGCCTATGGTCATTATAGTTTGTGCAAATCAATGTCATCTTACATATTTATACGGTCATTATAGTTTGTGCAAATCAATGTCATCTTACAAATTTATATGGTCATTATAGTTTGTGCAAATCAATGTCATCTTACATATTTATA